AGACCCCGTCTCTACTATAAATAGAAAGAAATTAATTGGCCAACTAATATATATAGAAAAAATTAGCCAGGCATGATGGCACGTGCCTGTAGTCCCAGCTACTCGGGATGCTGAGGCAGTAGGATTGCTTAAGCTCAGGAGTTTGAGGTTGTTGTGAGCTAGGCTGACACCACAGCACTCACTCTAGCCTGGGCAACAAAGTGAGACTCTGTCTCAAAAAAAAAAAAAAAAAAAGAAAGAAAAGAAAAAAAATGTGAAATAAAAGATTTCTGATGAAAAGATAAGAAAATATCCATTTATTAGTTTTCACAATTATTAATTCATACTATAAAGAATGACTCCTGTTGTTTTCACTCTAGAGGGATTTAAAGATCCAGCTCTCTATACCTCCTGGTTACAGCCTGTTGATGCTTTCAATGTGTGGAAAACCCAGCGAGCCTTTAGCAAATATGAGAAGTCCGCATCGTTGGTCAGCAACAGCCAGTTCTTAGTAAAACCACTCAATATGATTGTGGGCAAAGCGTGGAATATGTTTGCTTCAAAGTAAGTAAAGAATAAATCTACATCCTAGCACTCTGGGAGGCCGAGGCGGCGATTGCTTTGAGGTCAGGAGTTCGAAACCCAGCCTGAAGCAAGAGCAAGACCCTGTCTCTACTATAAATAGAAAGAATAATTGGCCAAACTAATATATAATAATAGCTCGCTCTTGCTCAGGCTGGTTTCGAACTCCTGATCTGGAGCAATCTGCCCACCTCGGCCTCCCAGAGTGCTAGGATTACAGGCGTGAGCCACCACGCCCGGCCAATATATGATTTAAAAAATCTGAACCTAATTTACTTTAAAAGAACTTTTTCAGTAAATATCAAATTTAAAAATTCTAAGAAATAAGTAATTTTATGACATAATTTAATAAACTTTTTTCCCTTTAATCAATGGTATCTTAGAGGGAATACAATGTTATATTTATATATCCCTTTTTGTTACATGGATTGCAAATATTTTTATCTATCATTTTTGTCTTTTTTGTATAGCATCTTTTACCCTATGGAATTTTACATTTTTATGTGAGCAAACTTGTAAATCTTCCTTTGCAGATTTTGAGCCTTGTTTACCCTAAAGATATAAAAATGTTCTCCAATATTTTCCAGTATTTTCAATAGTTTTATGTGCACTTTTTTTGGGAGACAGAGTCTTACTCTGTCACCTACGCTAGAATGCATGCAGTGGCATCATCATAGCTCACTACCATCTCAAACTCCTGGGCTCAAGCAATCCTCCTACAGGTGCATGCTACTGCATCTGGCTTATTTTTCTATTTTTTGTAGAAACTGGGTCTTGCTCTTGTTCAGGCTGGTCTTGAACTCCTGACCTCAAGCATTCCTCCCTCCTTGGCCTCCCAGAGTGCTAGGATTACAGGCATGAGCCACCTTGCCTGGCCAATAGGTTTATATTTAAAACTGAAATATTCATATAGGAATAACATTTATCGGGTATCGGGCAAGTGGGAGGGGGGAGGAAAGGATGGGTATATACAAACACCATGAGTGAGATGTGCAACGTTTGGGGGATGGTCATGCTTGAAGCTCCAACTCCAGGGGGGAAGGGGACATGAGCAATATACATAACCTTAACATTTGTACCCCCATAATATGCTGAAATTAAAAAAAATAAAAATAAATACATCTGAAATATTAAACCATCCTGAATTTATCTTTATTTTTGACAATGCTTTTTTTTTTTCTTTTTCTTTTTTTTGAGACAGAGTCTCACTCTGTTGCTTAGGCTAGAGTGCCATGGTGTCAGACTAGCTCATAGTAACCTCAAACTCCTGGCCTTAAGCAATCCTTCTGCCTCAGCCTCCCGAGTAGCTGGGATTACAGGTATGCCACCATGCCCAGCTAATTTTTTCTATATATATTTTTAGTTGGCCAATTAATTTCTTTCTATTTTTAGTGGAGATGAGACAGGCTCTTGCTCAGGCTGGTTTCAAACTCCTGACCTTCAGAGATCCTACCGCCTTGGCCTCCCAGAGTGCTAGGATTACAGGCGTGAGCCACCACACCTGGCATTGACAATGCTTTTTTTTAAACTTTTTCCCATTTTTAATTTTATTTGCTTAACTTTCTTTTTTTTTTCTATTTTTAGACATCAGTGTTTCAGGAGCCCATCTTTGGATTGGCATATTCATTCTTTTTTTTTTTTTTTTGAAACTGTTCAGATAGAGTTGATTATACTTATCTTTTACTTCTGAGTAATATGGTAATAAATTATCTAACAAGTACTACTTTGATAGCATATACATTTTTTAATAGCTTTACTGGTATATAATTTAAATACCATATACTACACCTATGGTAAGAATACAATTCAATAATTTTTTAAATAAATTTACACAATTGTGCAACAATTACCACAATCCAGTTTTAGAACATTTCTATGACCCCAAATGTTCTATCATCCCTCCTGTCTGTTTGCAGTCAATTCCATTTTTATTCCTAGCTCCAAACAACCACTGATATGCTTTCTGTCTGTGTAGATTTGACTATTTTGTGTCTGACTTCTTTCACTTAACCTAATGTTTTTGAGGTCCATCCACGTAGTATATATCAGTAGTTTGGTCCTTTGTATTGCTCATTGGTATCCCATTGAATGGATATACCACATTATTACAGCTAGGAGGATTGCTTGAGGCCAGGAATTTGAGACCAGCCTGGGCAACATAATGAGATCCCATTTCTACAAAAAAAAATTGAAAAATTAGTTGGTTGTGGTGGCATGCACCTGTATTCCAGCTACTTGGGAGGCTGAGTCAGGAGGATCACTTGACCCCAGGAGTTTGAAGTTACAGTGAACTATGATGACGCCATTACACTCTAGCCCAGGCAATAGAGTGAGACCCTGTCTCAAAAAACAAAAAGCTTTTTTAAAATACTTCCATTTGACTAGTCAATTTTTTGTTTTAGAGACAGAGTCTCACTCTGTTGCCCTGGCTGGAACACAGTGGCTATTCACAGACAAGATCACACTGTAGCCTGCAGCTCCTAGGCTTAAGCAATCCTCCTGCCTCAACCTTCCAAGTAGCTGGGACTACAGTGGCATGCCACCACACCTAGCTGACTAGTCGATTTTCAATCTGATTTTTGTTTTGTTTCTACATCCCTTAATATTTTGTTGTGTGACTTGTTTGAGGTATATACAGGCCAAGCACTGAGGCTCATGCCTGTAATCCCAGCACTTTAAAAAAGCGTATAGGCCGGGCGCGGTGGCTCACGCCTGTAATCCTAGCACTCTGGGAGGCCGAGGCGGAAGGATTGCTCCAGGTCAGGAGTTCAAAACCAGCCTGAGCAAGAGCGAGACCCCGTCTCTACTAAAAATAGAAAGAAATTAATTGGACAACTAAAAATATATATACAAAAAAAAATTAGCTGGGCATGGTGGCGCATGCCTGTAGTCCCAGCTACTTGGGAGGCTGAGACAGGAGGATCGCCTGAGCCCAGGAGTTTGAGGTTGCTGTGAGCTAGGCTGACTGACGCTATGGCACTCACTCTAGCCTGAGCAACAAAGTGAGACTCTGTCTCAAAAAAAAAAAAAAGCATATACAGTGAGGTTTACCCTTTTATTAGGTGTATGAATTTTGACAAACTAATACAATGTATAACCACCACCACAATTGAGGTAGAGTATTTCTCCTATCCCCCAGATTTCTCTCATACCTCTTTGTAGGCAATCTTTCCTTCCACCCCATATAAACTACAGGAATTTTGTTCTTATAGTTTTGCCTTATATAAAATGTCCTATAAATGGAATCATACATTATGTAATCTTTTCAGTCTAGCTTGTTTCACTTAGCATAATGCTTTTGAGACTTGTCAATGTTGTTGCATTTATCAGTAGTTCCCTTTTATTGCTGAGTTGAATTCCCTCATATGTACCTATCACTATCTTTTGATATTCAATGATGAATATTTTGTGCCTTTCTCAGAATTGAGTAGTTTGAATCACTTTAGGTCAACCAAGTTAGAATGTTTAAACTTTTACAGGAAAAATCAACTTTCATGTATCAAATAAAAATTTATGAGCCAGAGCTGGGTATGGTGTGGCTCACACCTTTAATCCCAGTAACTCGGGAGGCTTGACACCAGGAATTTTAGACTATCCTGGGCAAAATAGTGAGACCCTACCTCAAATAAAGGTTATGTAAAATACACATACCATAAGACATCTTTCTCCTTCTTGTTCAAAGTCATTTATAAAATCTCTTGCTTTATTTTTTCTTTGTGTAGGTATTGACTGGCAAGTACGACCTCCTTTATCAGGACTTCCTCCTGTTGCTAAAATGCCTGTCAACAAGGAGCTTCATTTCAACACTTCCATTGCTAACTTGGTCATCCTTCGTGGGAAAGATGTGCAAAGTGCGGATCTCGGTAAGAAGTTAAGGTGAAAATTAAGATGTACGTTTTGCACGTGGATGTGGTATGTCATATACATAGTTCTTTAAAGTCCCTGTATTTAATCTTTTTTTCTCCCATCTCCAATGCTAATGGAAGGGCCCTGTATTTAATCTTAGAGAAAGGAAAATAATAACTATGTGCTTTAGTGGCAAAATGTAATCATTATATCGGTCAGTATGTGCCTGACACCAAAACAGAAGTGGTTTAAACAAGATAAAAGTTTTATTCTTTCTTCCAAACATCTGGTCTCTCTGTCATCCTTACCATGTGGCTTCCTCCTTATAGTTCAAGATACCTGCTTGAGCTTCAGCCATCAAATCACATAGGAATAAGCAAAGAGGGGCACATCACACTTGCATTTCTATCCCATTTACTGGGACTAAGTTCTGTGCCACATCTAGCTGCGGGCATGGCAGTGAGTGCGGTTAAAATTTGGGGATTCTAGGCCGGGCGCGGTGGCTCACGCCTGTAATCCTAGCTCTTGGGAGGCCGAGGCGGGCGGATTGCTCAAGGTCAGGAGTTCAAAACCAGCCTGAGCAAGAGCGAGACCCCCGTCTCTACTATAAATAGAAAGAAATTAATTGGCCAACTAATATATATAGAAAAAATTAGCCGGGTATGGTGGCGCATGCCTGTAGTCCCAGCTACTCGGGAGGCTGAGGCAGGAGGACTGCTTAAGCCCAGGAGTTTGAGGTTGCTGTGAGCTAGGCTGACGCCATGGCACTCACTCTAGCCTGGGCAACAAGTGAGACCCTGTCTCAAAAAAAAAAAAAAACAAAAGAATAAATCTACAAAGCTTTCCAACCTTAGGCAGATTATATAGTGTTAAAGCATGAGGTAAGATCTAGAATAAAAAATCACCACTTAGTAGGTGTGAAGCCTTGGGCATGTGGCTTCAGGCTTCATCATCTCTGCAATGGGTCCTGAGAAAATTTGTGGTGAGGAATTATATGACATAATCATGTAAAACACCTAGTGCAATGCCTGGCTAGTAAACGCTCAAAAATAGTTTGACATTATTACTATTATATGTCTATTATGTTGTTGACTAAATGAATAGTTTCTCAGCCACATGAAATTAAAGTAGAAATTTCATTATATGGCAGGGACAATAAGATAGTTTTCAAAACTAAGATCCTCAGGAAAGTAAAAGAGATCCTGATCTTCCTCAGTAAGATATACGATAAATTAAACTGTTTGATACTAAGAAAAGTCCACTTGATACAAAGAAATGTTTTAGCAGGTTTCTTGGCCACAATTACTTAATGTCAAAGCAAAGTTCCTCAAATCACTGAACTAGGTCTCTACTTTGATTAGTTACAATTCCCAATAGCCCAGCTGTCCTGCATGTGGCTGTTACTCTCTTCCCACTCTCTTTACATGGTAGTAGCCATTATAATGTCAATTGAATTCACGTCTGCCCTTGATATTCTTTATAGACATGATTTCCCCTGCCTCAGAGCATTTTCGGGGATGAGAGGGATTGAGAAGACCACCCTGGCATAACTACAGATTAAATGTCTGAAAAGCACCTGGGAGGCTTCACCATATTCCTAGAACTGGATTGATGTGTTTTCTAGCTTCAAGCTTTAGATGAAACTTTCCAGGCACTTTTTAGAGTTTATATTGAACCTAGTCATCTCCTGTAAGGTGTTAAATATGTGCTGGGTGGACAACCACATCTGAACGTGCTTCTTTTTCCTGTGTGCCTCTTGTCACTCTCTTGGACACTAAAAAAACAAGGAGTTTGACATAAATTCTGAAAGCTCACTAAGTTTGGAGTAAAAAATGTAGCAAATGTAAGACTTCTAAGAGATTCTGTGATCTTCAAATGTTCATGAACTAGAAAAGGTCTATTCATTGTTTGTTTTTAAGAGTTATTCATTGGCCTGACATTTTTTATTTTACATTTTCTGTTTGTGGTTTTTTTGTTTGTGTTTTTTTTTACCAGAGCCTACCTTCATCAGTACACAAAATTTGGAATTGAAGAAGAGGACTTCTTGGACAGTTTCACATTGTTAGAGCAGGTTGTTGCCAGTTACTATAACCTCTGATCTTGAGCAAAGGAAAAGAGTATCTTGAAGCATAAAATATTTTCAATACTACTTTAAGAGGTTTTCAGAGTCTTAGCTGTTAAAGTAACAAAGTAGAATGCTGAGTCCATTCTGTATAGTATACCCAGAGAAAAGGAAGATATCTTTAAAAATGAAGAATAGCATGTTTTCAATGAAAACATCTACTTGGTATTTCATTTGTAAGAAAAAAATTGGTGCTTCAATAAAGAACTTTGGAAACATTTTGCTGAGATGTTGGAACTCTGGAACTAAGAACAGGGAATATTCTGTTTATCTTTATGTTCCTAAATCTTTCCACTTTACTCCAAAAAGGATTCACTAAATACAAACTAAACTTTCATAGCACAATTTTAGGCTAAGAAATTGTAATTCTGTAGAGATGCTTTGAACCACAAGAGGGAGATGTTGTCAAATGCTACAGAATGAATATTGTCTAACAGGGTAAGAGTTTCCACTCTAAGCAGCTATTTAAAAATAAATGTCAGGATTTTAGTAAGAAATGCTTATGCATAAATAAAAAATAAGTAAATATGTACCTCGCTTTTTTAAAACTCTGAGTATGAGAAAATTGGATCACATTTTGTTTTAGATCTCGGAATGCCAGAGCAAAAGTTGATTTTATTAAACTATTGCTTTAAAATTGCTTATAGAGGCCAGGTGCAGTTGCACCTATAATCCCAGCCACTCTGGAGCCTCAGGCAGGAGGATCTCTTGAGCTCAGGAGTTCAGCTTGGGAAACATAGTGAGACCCTCCCTCCCCGTCTCTTCTTTTAAAAGAAAATTTGCTTATAGGTGGTTAGCTGGTGTAGCTATATGCTTTGCAGTAAAAGGGGTAAGAACTTTCACCCAAATTCTTCACTAAGTTGGGAAAGTTATCACCAAGGAAATACAGTGCTTGATGAAATTGACACACAGATGTGGTTTCACTCAGAAGGACAAAACACACTTGAAAATTGGCAACTGCCTTTGAGAGAAATGGTGTATTTCCATAAAACACATCACATGCAATGTATTAACAAATGTAAAATGGGAAACAAATAGGAACATGTGCCCTTTCAGCCAAATCTACCAGTAGTGACTTTTATATGGAAAAATGACAGTTCACAGCTTCCCTGGTTTCTTCCTTTTCTTTCCATATGGAAATAATTACCTTTTTGCTGTTTTTCTTATCAACTGTTGCTATGATTTAAAATACTGAACCATATCTTATTTCTAAGGAATGTAAAAAGTGGTCTGTTCAACTGCTAAAAGGCACACCCCACTGCTGCATTTCGTTAACCCAAGTATACTTGAAAAATAATTAGATCATAATTTTACAAAACAAAGTTAAAGTAATTGTTTAGGCATTGAAGGAATCCAAAGACTGAAACAATTTCCCAGACTAAACCAGCATTAATGAAGATTTGTAACCGAATTATCTCACCAGGGGTTAAGCTGACTCTGAGGAACCTTGTTAGAAGTTAAGCATAAAGAAAGTCATAAGTTGAAATCATTTGATATTTGAGAAAAGAATAGGGCCAAGTGTATTTCTAATTTGGCAACTCATGGAATCAATGGCAGGTGAATATTAGAAATAAATCCCAGTGAGACAGAGCTCTGCATCCATTCACTTATGCAATTTGACTTTTATTTTTTCTGAGACAGGGTTTCACTTTGTCACTCAGGCTTCAAGTGATTCCCCTGCCTCAGCCTCCCAAAACACTGGGTTTTTAGGTGTAGCCATCTAACTCAGCCTTGACCCTTTCTTACAATCTCAACTGTGTTATTTGATAAGTGAGGGTATCTAAATATTTTTAAGCTTGTTTTAAACATTTACATGGGAAATCGTTTTTTCTTGTCTATTTGGAATAACAAAATTTTGATCTTTAGAGCTATGATTTTAAGTTAAAAACACAAGGAAGCTAATGTCAAAGTTTCCAGATATGGAGTGGCACTGGAAATGTACTTTGATTTGTGTGCAGAAAATGGCCAATCAACCAGGATAACATTAGAATCATAAATTCCTAGGCCTACAGATCCAGAAAACTTCGAAAATGTAATTTCTTAGATTACTGGGTAACTGGCATACTAGGTTTTCTAACATTACCCTGTAGAGGTAGGATGCACCCCTGTGCACAGTGAGTACAGTGTAAAAACGCAAACTGTTTCTTACTTTCAAGCCTTTTCCATTTCTTATCTCCCTTCATTTGTGCTTTTCTCAAGAGCTCTTTACTCTGAGCTGTAGAACCTATTTCTTCCCATGCATTCCTTCTTTCTTCCAGCTTTGAGCCCCCTACTCTCCTTACTACTCAATCTGTAACATTTCTCCTTTATTTATTTTATTTTTTTAGAGACAGGGTTTCACTCTGTTGCCCAGGCTGGAGTGCAGTGGCATGATCATAGCTCACTGCAGCCTCGACCTCCTGGGCTCAAGAGATCCTCCCCCCTCAGCCTCCCGAGTAGCTGGGACTGTACACACATGCCACTGCACCTGGCTCTTTATCCTTTATTTTACCCATCACTTAGAAACTCACTAAGTGTGCCAACAGTTCACTATTATCAGCCAATTCATTCATCCAACCAGTAACTATTCAGTGCCAGGCATTTAGCAAGATAAATGGATCAATATCACATAATCTAAATAAAGAAGCTTACAGTGTAGTAAGTTTCTTTGGATATCTGGTGCTACATTTCTAGCTTCCTAATTATTGCTTATTATCTTGCCTGTGTGCATATTGAACTTTTTTTTACAGGAAAGATGTCATGCAAGAAAGAACAATGAACTGGGAGCTCTAGTCTGGGCTAGATTTAAATGTTGAAATGTCTTCTTACTGGCTCTGTAGACACTACTTTGCAGGGTACATACCAGTGATTCTTCTCCTGACCACCATGTTTATCACACTTAAATTCTTGTCCAAAACTTTGTTTTAAAACATGTTCCATATGTCCCTATCCCACCATTCTCTCCATGAGCCCAAAGTTTGGCAGTCAATCCTTTCTTGTTCTTCCACCTACATACCAAATATGGCTTTGCCCACTAACTTGCCATTTTTGGCCAACAATCAGTTATTTAAGAGATATTTGCTCATTTGTATCAATCACATTTCCTAGGGGTTTTAGGAATGTAATCCAAAAAATCTGACTTTATATCTTTAACTAAATAACTTCCTACTCATATACCCTGAAATGTCTCAGATGATGCAATGTCAGCCTTATTAATAATAGATGGGGCTGGGCATGGTCGCTCACACCTGTAATCCTAGCACTCTGGGAGGCCGAGGCAGGAGGATCGCTCAAGGTCAGGAGTTCGAGACCAACCTGAGCAAGAGCGAGACCCTGTCTCTACTAAAAATAGAAAGAAATTAATTGGCCAACTAATATATATAGAAAAAATTAGCCGGGCATGGTGGCGCATGCCTGTAGTCCCAGCTAATCGGGAGGCTGAGGCAGTAGGATCATCGCTTGAGCCCAGGAGTTTAAGGTTGCTGTGACCAAGGCTGACACCATGGCACTCACTCTAGCCTGGGCAACACAGTGAGACTCTGTCTCAAAAATAAATAAATAATAGATGGAATCCTATTTCTGCAAGCAGGAATGCTTGCACAAGAAGCTAAGATAAACACTGTAAATATTTCAAGTTTCTGGGAAACACAGTATAGGGTCAGTATAGGACAAAATATGGCATTCAAGCTATGGAAAAGGGGGAAATTGATATAAATTCCTAACCACTTAGCCTATAGGGATCCAATGAAGCAGGAAGAGGTGAAAAGAAAGGGCAGGGAACTGATGATGCTCCCAAAGAATTGCTAATAACTTACAAGCATTTAAAAGAGAAAACCTTCTGCAGAGGACAGGTAAGGCTAAAATTAAAGTAAAAAGATAAATTAAAAAATAATAAATTTAAAATTAAAAAAATTTTTTAGGCTGGGCTTGATGGCTCACGCCTGTAATCCTAGCACTCTGGGAGGCAGAGGTGGGCAGATTGCTCGAGGTCAGGAGTTCAAAACCAGCCTGAGCAAGAATGAGACCCCGTCTCTACTATAAATAGAGAAGAAATTAATTGGCCAACTAATATATATAGAAAAAATTAGCTGGGCATGGTGGTGCATGCCTGTAGTGCCAGCTACTGAGGAGGCTGAGGCAGTAGGATTGCTTGAGCCCAGGAGTTTGAGGTTGCTGTGAGCTAGGCTGACGCCATGGCACTCACTCTAGCCTGGGCAACAAAGAGAGACTCTGTCTCAAAAAAAAAAATTTTTTTTTAAATAAAAAGAAAAAACTTGATGGTTTTTGAATTATCGACTTCACTTAATGAAGAATAGCTTAAAAAGAGAGTAAGCTAAATTACATATCACTTAGCAAATAATTCTGTCTTACCTGAATTTATCTCCTTTACCAATAATGGAGCCAATATAATGGGTACTTTTTTCTTTTGGAGAGAGAGTCTTGCTGTGTTGCCCAGGCTATATATCAGTGGCTTAACACAGGTATAATCATAGCACACTACAGCTTGAACTCCTGGGATCAAAGGATCATCCTATCTCAGCTTCCTCAGTCCCTAGGACTAGAGGTATGCACCTCTGTGCTCGACTTTGATGGATACTTTATAATGAATTTATAAATAATTAATTTGAATTTAACATTTATGTGATAAGTACACAAAAATTCAAAGCTCTCTACACCCATGCTGTCCAGTAAGGTAGTCATTAACCACATGTGACTAATGCTGTAAATGTAAAATACACACTGGATTCAAGATACATATGTGATAAAGAAACATAAAATATTAATATTTTAAATGGTTGAAATAGTATTTTTGACATACTAAGTTAAATAAAATCATTTAAATTAATTTTACCTGTTTCTTTTTATTTTGAAAATGTAGCAACTACAATTTTTTGAATTGGAATTATGACTTGCAATATATTTATGGGACAGGGCTGTTCTAGACCAGGTGTCCTCAAACTACAGCCCGAGGGCCACATGTGGGTGTTTTTGCCCATTTGTTTTTTTACTTTGAAATAAGATATGCGAAGTGTGCATAGGAATTTGTTCATAGTTTTTTTTAAACTGTAGTCCGGCCCTCCAACGGTCTGAGGGACAGTGAACTGGCCCCCTGTTTAAAAAGTTTGAGGACCCCTATAGACCTTTCTGGAACAAAATCCCAGGAATTGTAGAAACTGGAGTTGAACAAAGCTTATCCTTACTAGGTGAGAGGTCATGGGAACATGATAGTAAGAAACATGACAAAGGCAAAAGATGGGAGTTTCCTTTTTGACTAAAAAGGGGCCTTTGCTTAAGCTCGACTCATGCGATCACTATGAAAGAGGCAGGATGTGATTCAACAAACATTCATTGAACACCTGGAAGGAAAGACACTGTGCTATGATAGGTTGACAAAAATGAGTTAAACCTGACCTCTGTCCTCAAGGGGTTCACCACTTGGTATGTAATTTGCTGCAAAGCGTGTGCCTGGCTCATGGTAAAGACTCCATGTTTACTGAACAGATTAACATAAATGCTTAAAAAACTCTGAAGAGATGTAAAGCTGTAAAACTACAGGCATACAGGGAACCTGTTAAAGCTCCCATTATGAGCAACAGATTGCACAGCCATTAGGTGAAACTAAGGACCTGAAAATATAAAAATAATTAAAAATCTTATCTCTGTAGCAATCCTATACTATTTAAGGTCATTTAAGACTGTGTAAATTCAAACTGTACTGAGAATGAAGAATTGACATTACTTGCAATTCTTTGCCTGAAATCTAAATCCCTTATCCTGGAATTTAAAGCTGTCCCCCACTGTTCCCTTTATATGTGCTACAGTAGCCAAGGCACACGGAAATGGCTGTTAAATGTTGTTATGAAAAGCACACGGGTCAGGCACAATGGCTCATGACTGTGCCTGTAATCCTGGAATTTTGGGAGACTGAGCTGGGAGGATTGCTGGAGGGCAGGAGTTCAAGATCAGCCTGGGCAACATAGTGAGACCCCCATCTCTACAAAAAATAAGAAAAGTTAGCCAGGCGTGGTGGCTCTTGCCTATAGTCCCAGCTACTCAGGAGACTGAAGCAGGAGGATGGCTTGAGCCCAGGAGTTTAAGGCTGCAGTGAACTATGACTGCACCACGGCACTCCGATCTGGGTGATAGAGTGAGAGACCCTGTCTCTTAAAAAATAATCTTATGGATTTGTCTATTGGATGGTGCTTAACTTCTTTCAGAAAAAACAGGGATGGAGCAAGTTATTGTTGCCCTGAAGATGTAGGTGAAGAGGCCTCAGTAATCCTCCCTTGCCCCTGTGCTGCCCTGACCACCAGGCCCCAAGTCCAAGAATGAGAGAGAGCAGTTTAGAGAGGATACACACTAGATTTCATTGTAATATCTTTTGAGGAGTGGATTTCTCAGGAGAGTTTATATATATATTATACTTCTTTTGCTTGCATTAAAAAAAAAGCCTTAATACCCCAAAATAAAGACAGGATAACCAACAATTTTTTAAAGGATGTTAACATCTAGAGGCAGTTTGAAGAACTGAGGAATTAGTCTAGTGAATCAGAAGGTGGTAAAAGGGGGAGAAGTAGAAAGAAACATCTTAGCTCTATAAACTATCAAGTAAACAGGGTGTAGGAACTACTAGATGCTCCAGTTTCATCTGGAGGCAGAGGAAGAAGGGAGAAATTAAAGACTAACTTGGGGTCCTACTGTCTCACATGTTCTAATGAACACTGCCTACTGTAGGGAAAAGACTAATAAATATACCACAAAACAATGTCTAGGAGTGTATAAAAGGAAGTATATAAAGTAGGAAAACTTTTGTGTATGAAAGAACTTTTTACTTCTCCCTGCAGAGACCAGGGGATGTCTTTTATACTTGAATGAATTCTTTACAATTGAAGAAGAAAATGCCAAACATCTTAAAATTTCTTTGATCTCTACATTTTTCTAAAATCATTGTGTCTCCCCTCCTACCCACCACTGGTTTTTTTCTTCTAAATTGTGCAAAGTACTCTCACGCACATATTTTACCAGATAGGCATCGAATTATGTCTGATTCCATCAGAAAGCCAGGAACAGTAACTCCCCAATCCTCCCAGGCTTTGAAAACTTTGCACTCACCTGAAAGTGGAATACTCAAGTTTTGTACCTCTCTTCTGCACCACGGGATTATTACACAAGTAAATCTCTCCTTCTGAACTCTGGTGCTCCTTGAGAGTCATGTAATTGTGGTCATATGTTGTTTATTCTGAACTCCTACCCAGCCAACTTCAATAAGCAATAACTCATTTACTGAAACATGTAAACAACCCCAGCACCAAAGCAGCCAAATGGAAAACTGCCTTGACCACATGCTCTAGAAGGTGTAATAAAGTTGTGATTCTGCCTCTTGGCTTGGCAAAGTCACTTGGGAAGATGCCCTCACAGTAACTTGGGAGCACTCATGACATCTGGGTTCTAGGTGGCTGCCACTGCTGTCTAGGCTAGCACTGCTGGAATCTTGGACTCCAGTAGAAACATACAGGAAATCACATTGCCAAACTTTTCTCCTTATAAAGACAGACAATCTCTCCAGGAATTACCATCCTCCTAGTTCTCATAGGGAGGAGCCACTGCTTAAGTCAGCAGGATACAACTGGGGAAAGGAATTTTTAAAGTTTCCTGTGCCTCCAAAGTGCAGCTGCAGTGCCATGGCTTCAAGAACAGCACTGTATTGCACGTTAGGGCTTACGTTATCACATATGGGAAACTCCAGAGGACAGGTCCAGCCTATTCCCTGACAGGGTTAGTGGTGTAATGGGCAGCACATTCACTAGGAGCATAGGAGTTAGGGAACCTGAGCTACAGCCCCATTACAGGCCCCACCATTCTACTGGTTATCATTTTCCCTCCATGCGTTCAGAGTGGAAGAGTCTCCCTTCCTCGGAATTACTCCTCATATATTTCTGGCTTGCTGATTGCCATCGCTGTCTTTTCATCTTTTCTTTGCTTCCTTCCTCATCTTTATTCCGCCACCTTTAATCCAGCCTTGGACCCTGGCTTATATTTGGGTAGCATCTCCTGCCTGCCTTTGGATCCCCACTGCTGCTTCAACCAGGCTAATACAACATTTATTCTGCAAATACTAAGAGCGAAGAAGGGCCAGGCCCTGTGGCTGGGCATACAATGGACCCTTATGGGCTTTGTGTTCTAGTGGAGCAAACAGGCCAAACACAAGAAAATAGACAAATTTGTTGTGAATTAGGTAGGTACTTTGAAGGAAACAAAACTGGGAGCTAAGGCAGAGAATGACAGTGGACACAGAGACTACCTTTAGTTGGCACATTGGTCTTATTTCATCTACCCACTCTACACACAGCTCCCCTCTTTGTTCTTTCCTGGTGGCTCTCAGTTTCTGATTAGAATACCTTTCCTCTCCCTTCCCCTACCTTGTCAACTTAAATACTAGCCCCCTCAGGAAACCCTTTTCTAATTCTTCCCAGTCAGCAATTCTCTTTCTCAATTCCTTTTTTACGGCCCCTATCTCACTCCACATTGTAGTTAGCACGTACAGGCATAACACACCCGAGAAGACTGTAAGCTCCTGGACGGAGATCGTGTTTCAACAGCTTTGTCTTTTCTCCACAGCCACATCCAGTGAATACATTTTTTTTGAACATGGCTAATGCTACCACTGGCCCTAATGATTTCCAAGGGTTGTTATGAAGGTTACAAAAAAAAACAGACGTTGGCCAAGTACGATGGGTCACGCCTATTATCCTAGCACTCTGGGAGGCTGAGGCGGGTGGATTATTTGAGCTCAGGAGTTCGAGACCCCCTCTCCACTAAAAAATAGAAAAAATTAGCCGGGCATGGTGGCACAAGCCTGTAGTCCCAGTTATTTGGGAGGCTGAGGCAGGAGGATCGCCTGAGCCCAGGAGTTTGAGGTTGCTGTGAGCTAAGCTGAAGCCATGGCACTCACTCTAGCCTGGGCAACACAGTGAGACTCTGTCTCAAAAAAAAAAAAAAAAAATACATTAAAATACTTTGAAAATGAAAAAAGGACTGTACAAATGGGAATCGCTTTGCAATCATAGCAAACTCCACTCTGGGAACCTCCCCACACTGGATGGCTGTGGCTTTTCCAACCCCGTGATACATGGAAACACAAGGGCTGCTCATCTTTTTAAATGGCAGAACTTCAGGTTGTGGCCTTCATTTTCTGTCGTCTCCCTTTCTCCATCAACTACCTTGTGATCACAAGATAAAACAAGCTTGGACTTTTGTACTGATTTCTACAGAACAGAGTGGTTAAGAGCCAGAATGCTCAGGTAGCTCTACTTCCTTGTTTCCCCTGACAAATTACCGAACCTCCCCTGCCTTAATTTCCTCATAGGGTTGTTGTAAGGATTAAATGATTAAGTACAGTAGATGTGAAACAGCATTTTAAACAGTGCCTGGTACAAAGCAAGCAATCATTATCAAAGTTACAGCGTTCCACTGTGCTTCCTGGTACAGAGCACAGCAGAGTTCCTGCTCGTGCTCACTGTTCACACAGAGAAAATGCTGTGGAGGGAACATGGCAGTGGGAGAGGGCTGGTGCAATGGGCACAATGGAGCAGAGGTGTCTGAAGAGCCTTGAGAGTGTGGCCAAACAATGTGAGGTGAGGCAGGAAAGTTTGTGTGCTCTGAGAGGCTTAGTAGTCGTTACTCAAGTGAAAGTGACTGAGAGGCGCTTTGCAAGAGGCTGTGAGGTGCACTAAAAAATGAAAGGCGGAGAAAGGCCTCCTCTCCTTATTCTTGGCCTTTATCTTTTTAATTACTGAAAAGAGACTGAGAAAAACATGCTTCTCTGGGGACATGGCGAGCCAGGCTTGAGCATAGTACTGCCAAAAGGAGTGAACCTGGGCAGCTCTTTCCAACTCAACAGGAAAGGAGCCAAAGGAAGATGACAGGGATCTAAGTCATTCCCCACCTTCATGGAAAGGGGGGACCATTCCTCTTTTCAAATCCCTAACTGCTCTTTCCCCTAAAGCTTTTTTTTTTTTTTCTTCTCCTATCAGAAACAGACTGGGCCCATGTGGTGGCTCATGGCTGCAACCCTAGCACTCTGGGAGGCAGAGGCGGGAGGATTGCTTCAGGCCAGGAGTTAGAGACCAACCACACGCAAGAGTGAGACCCCCTTCCTACCAATCTACAAAAAAAAAAAAACAAGAGAAAAAACCCCAAAACAATCCAGGTGGGTCTTTCGGCAGCCTGTGCTGGTAGTCCCAGCTACGTGGAGGCTGAGGCAGACGGGTCACTTAGAGCCCAGGAGTGGAGGTGGAAGTGACCATGGCGCCACTGCACTCTACCCAGGGCGGCGAGTGAGGTTCTGTCTCAACAAAAACAAACAAGGCAACCAAGCACCCCTCCTCACAAACCTCACCTCTTCATATTAAAAAAATAAATATTTTTATTAAAAAAAAAGAGAAAGAAACAGACTGGAACACAATTAGGTAACTGATTGGCTGCTTTACTCAACAGTGGCCTGAAGGAAAAAGCTGTGTCCCCCAAAGGGGATAGATGACTATGAAGGGACACACCACATTTGGGATTAGATGGGGCTAAGAGAAGAGTGGCTCACAGAGGCCTCCTTGAATGAACCAGGACTGTTCCTCAAAGGACTCTGAGCGAAAGGCCATCAATGCAAGTTGCAGGGAGAGATACTACTGCTCCCTGGGAATTCCCGAGACCGCTGTGACTGGCAGCTTACACAGATGGCTCAGGGGTCCCATCTAAAGTCAAAGTTGCCCAGAATAAGCCAGAGCCTTCCCCCTCAAGAATTCAGGAATGTGGTTTCCAATGCAAATAAAGACTAAATTATAGAAATAGTGCTGGACTGTGTTCAAGCACTCTATGTCCTTTGAGTCATTTGGAAATGGTTAACAAACAGGTTGGACACCTGGGCTGATTACCCTCGTAGGGGATTTCCACACAAACCCTATACTACAAAATCATCCTCTTCCCTTCCCAAGGCAATTCAGTTCCACCCTCTAGACTGAAGTGTGTCTTAAAGAGTCCAAATTTCCTAAATCTGATTCTCAGCTTCCTAAGTTAGAACAGCAACTGCTGCTGACACAAAGAAACAAGGAGCCAAGTAACTTTGTGTGTTTAAAAAAAGTCTATTTTAAATTAAGAGGAACAGATGTCCAATGTTTCAAAAAGCCACACATTTGTGGATTTGGCTGACAAATTCTTCTAAGCTGCATTTCATTTCTGTTCCCATAGAGTCAGCCAGCCACTTGCAACTGACTCACTCTCTCTGGGCACAGTTCGGGCCAGTCTCCTGACTACAGAATAAGAATCCAGATATCAAATGAATCCAGGGTGTTTGGGTGGAAAGCAGGTGTTAAAAGCCATCTAAAACGATGTCCCCATCCCCCTTTAATTTAGTAGTATCAACATTCACACAGCAAACTGTGCAAAGCTGGTGGGTCAAAGAGAGTGAGCAAACAGTTGACACCTGGCAATCCCCACATCACGCAATTCTAAGTAAGGGCAGTGAGTAAGCAGCTGTCTAGAACAGGTTTTTGTATAAACTCTTTTAGGAGTACCGGTTAAATATGCAAATACACGTAGGTTATTTGCTACAATTCAAGGCCTCACCCCCAAAGCAAACCCATGACCTCAGGTGAACTCTTGGCCTTGCTGGGAAGGGAGGGACAGGAACCCAAGCCTCTGTCCTCCAGACACACATGACTCAATTGCTTCTAGAGTTTAAAGTACATTATGTACTTTTTCTTGTTGTCTTTGAGAATAAAGGAACAACATCTTCAGACACAACAGTTTTTGTACTATCCCATTTACCGTGTTTTGTGAATACCAGGTAAGCTTTGATCAGTGTCAGAGATAGAATGGTACTTGGTTTTCAAAAATTGCTATTAAAATTCTGCTTAGGTTGCTTTAATTTTTTTGTGGCACATTGAAAATAAATGATTTGAGTGAATAAAATGAATCAATTTTTTGTGTTTACTTTTTAACAGGAATGAGACTTTGGGGTCTATTAAGAGCTTACATGAGTCAGGCGTGGTGGCTCACACCTGTAATCCTAGCACTCTGGGAGGCCAAGGCGGGTAGATTGCTTGAGCTCAGGAGTTCGAGACCAGCCTGAGCAAGAGTGAGACCCCCGTCTCTACTAAAAATAGAAAAAAAATTAGCCGAGCAACTGAAATAGGCACAAAAATTAGCCAGTGTGGTGGCTGACGTCTGTAGTCCCAACTCCTTGGGAGGCTGAGGCAGGAGGATCTATTGAGCCCAGGAGTTTGAGGTTGCTGTGAGCTAGGGTGATGCCATGGCACTCTAGCCAGAGTGACAGAGTGAGACTCTGTCTCAAAAGAAAAAAAGGAGCTTACATGCCATCGAATCAAAAAAATTTTTAACAAAGACAGGGGTGGCAGGGTGGGGGATGTCTTGCTCTGTTGCCCAGGGTGGAGTACAGTGGCCTGATCATAGCCCACCGTAGCCTTGAACTCCTTGGCTCAAGCAATCTTGCTTCGGCCTCCCAAGTAGCTGGGACTACAGGCGTTCACCATCACATTTAGCTTAGTTTTTTTTATTTTTGTAGAGATGGGGTCTCACTATGCAGCCCAGGCTGGAACTCCTGGGTCTCAGGTGATCCTCCCACCTTGATCTCCCAAAGTACTGGGGTTATGGCAGTGAGCCACTGTGCCTGGCCCAAATCAAATTTTTTATGGTCTAAAACCTATTTACCCAGCAAATCTTCCTGGATACTCTAGATTGAGCTTTTTGTAACAAGGTTTTAAAAAGTGATGTTCCCTTTTTTCTCTACCTTCCAGATTTTTTAGTTATCAACATTCCTTATAATGAAAATAAATTATAAAATGTCAACATTTTTAAGCCGGGAAAGTTAGAAAACTTTCAATTATTTCATACTAAATTTTGTGTATTTGTGCTTTGTATGTTGTCTTTTTTTTTTATTCCTTTATTTATTTTTTTTTCCATTTTCAGTTGGCCAATTAACGTTTTTTTATTTTTTTTTTATTTTTAGTAGAGACGGGGTCTCGGCTCTTGCTCAGGCTGGTCTTGAACTTCTGAGCTCCAACGATCCACCCGCCTCGGCCTCCCAGAGAGCTAGGATTACAGGCGTGAGCCACAGCGCCCGGCCTGTATGTTGTCTTGAGTAGGCTACCTAGGGGTTTATTTTTATTATTTTTTTTTTTGAGACAGAGTATTGCTTTGTTGTCCAGGCTAGAGTGAGTGCCGTGGCATCAGCCTAGCTCACAGCAACCTCAAACTCCTGGGCTCAAGCGATCCTTTTGCCTCCCGAATAGCTGGGACTATAGGTATGTGCCACCATACCCGGCTAGTTTTTTCTATATTTTTAGTTGGCCAATTAATTTTTTTTTTCTATTTTTAGTAGAGACGGGGTCTCGCTCTTGCTCAGGCTGGTTTCAAACTCCTGACATTTGAGTGATCCTCTTGCCTCGGCCTCCCAGAGTGCTAGGATTATAGGCGTGAGCCACTGTGCCTGGCCCTATTTCTTCTATTTTTAAAAATCAAAGAAATGTAAGCTCAGGTAAAAACTTTCTTAGGTCACATATAACATGTGGCGGAAATCGAAACCATCTTTAACATAGACTATCGCACATGGAAGCGAATGGGTTTTAATATGTCTATAAAGGCTTTTTGACACTAAAAGGTTGGAAATTTCTATCAGCACCTTACACAAAGGTCAGTCTAAACATATTTCACCGGCCAGGCGCGGTGGCTCATGCCTGTAATCCTAGCATTCTGGGAGGCCGAGGTGGGCAGATCATTGGAGCTCAAAACCAAC